ATTTCCCTGCTGTATTCGCCTCGCGTTTGAGCCTCGCAGGACAGGGCGCCCGCCAGCCCCACGTGCTCCTCCAGCTCAGAGCAGGGGTGCTCAAAACGTGCGTGTGTGTGTGTGTGTGTGTGTGTGTGTGTGTGTGTGTGTGTGTAGAGTGTTGCACCCTGGCGCTCGGTTCCAAGTCCCCCACGCTCTCACGGATTTTCCTGGCTCTGTGGGGGACAGAGAGAGGGTCAGATTAGGTGAGAAGGTCCCCCTTGTGATGCTAAAAAGAAAGGGGTACAACCCAGGCAAAGGGCCAAGCCTATTGCCAAAAACACATATTACACTGAGACATTCTGTAAATGAGATAATGATACATAAACCCGGATGATAGATGTGACATCGCGGGGATGTCTTCTTTAAATTAGCTGCTCGCATCGACTGCTAATAATGGTGAGTTTATGAAAGCAATTTCAGTGCAAAACGGGAGAGGGTCTTCTTACTCTAATCAGCCTGCCTCGGTTAATGGATGAGGGGGTCAGGCTGAGAATTATTGACACGCCTGTGCCCTTAACCTGTTTCCCAATAAAGCTGATTAGTTTTTGTCAATTCATCAGCTAACCACTCTTGCTGGAACTGCATCAAAGCCTTATTTGCTCAGGGGAAATCAACAAGTCACAGATCAGATCCATTAAGGGGCAACTCTGGCTGGAGACCCATCCTGGGTTCAAGTGGATGCCTGGACGCGCCTCGGCCTCTACTGAGGAGTCTCTGAGTGACTGGCAGCGCGTGGTCTCCCCAAACTTCCTAAATTCCAAGTTTCTCTGACTTCCATTTCTCAGAAGACTTAGGAGAGGGAGAGAGACAGAAAAAGTGAGAGGCTGGTGATTCACTTCGCCCAGACGTCGGTCTTTCATTCTGGGACTTTGCAGTCCCTTCTTGGAGAGGTGGATCATTTTTTCAGGTGACTTGAATGGTGATGGGGGTGGGTGAGGCATCTGAGCTTGATGGTGAGAGGGCAGGGCCCGAGCTAGGGGCCTGCTGAGGGTCAGCACAGACTGTCAGTCCGGCAGCCACACAGAATCCCTGCACAGCCATTCGCCGAGGCCTGTAAGTCTCAAAGAGCTGGGTGAAGAAAGTGCAGATCCACCGCGGGAGAGGAGAGGAATCCCAGGCCCCAAGCTTAAAGCCGGCCCGCAGCATCTAGCCCAAGATTAACAGTCCGGAAAGAGTTCTTTAGGCGAAATTGGCACCCACACTTGAGTGACCCTGAGACCTTGATTAGTGACCTTTGCAAACGCGTGGGAGGTGCAGTTAGAGGCCACCTTCGATTGCAAATGTGTTAAGGTTCTTGAGTTATTGCCTCGACCTGCACACCTAGTGAGCTGTTGCAAGGCCACTCCATCCCAGGCAGCTGAGAGTCCCATTTCAATCCAGCTCCTGCTGCTAAGCAGTGAAAGGATCCGTGGCCCAGAGGAGGTGACCCCAGCGCCCCCTCCCACCCCACACCTGCTCCGCCTAGGTGCGTGGGCCATAGGGGTGCGGAGACCTGTGGTCAACCGGGCGGGTGGAAACCGTGTGCTATACCTTTAAGCCCCCTGCCACCACTGCTCCAGGCCCCATCCCCCTTCAATTTAATTTCATTAAAACAGAGCATGAATATTTCTATTAAACCTAAAATGAAATATGAAGCCATTTAGACTCTGCTTGCACCAATCACCCAGATTTATGACTTTTATTCATCACATCAAGAGCCTGGAAAAATGAATTTTCTTCACCCAGGAAGGAAATAAAACCTCAAGCTTGGTCATTTCCAGAAAGCTGTTAATTTGACCATGTGGTAATTACTTTCACAATTAACTAAAATACAAATCAACTTGACAAATTGGGCTAGTTTATATATTAATTAGCCTGCTTAAATTTATTCATTATGAAAAGACAATTTAAGGGGACCTGTGGTGTCTGTTTTATTGCAATAAATTATTGTTAGGAAATGGGTCTAATAAAATATCTTAATATTTAAGGATATTGTATACGCAGGGGGTAGTGTGCTTTATTGACAATTTCATTTTCCAATTAGTAATTTTGTTGTAATATATCTGCGGACCTGGGGCTCCAGGCGCTCGGTTATGCTCTCCAGGCTGCCGGGAAAGCTGGGGCTGAGCCTGGGCCTGACTCGGTCCTGCGGGAAGGCTTGGAAACCAGCAAATGCAAGCGGGCCCCGAACCCGCGGGCCCAGAATGCTGCACTCGTCCAGGGGCTCCTCCCTCTGACTGCGACCGCAGTGTCTGATTTAATAGAATGTCGATAGAATCATTCGATGCCTTTTAGCTTGTGATCTTTATAAATGTCCCTCTATTAAATTAGAAAATGATTCTCTTCTCGTTTAATTGTATTCTTTCGTTTCTTATTTCCAATTAATTAGGCCTATCGACGTTGCAATATTTTAAGTGACTCGAGTCCGTTCCTAGTTAAAATATATGGGGCGGCACACGCAATTTTATACCCGACAGAACTATATAATGTGGGTTTTAACTACTCTTTCCTCATACGTCTTAAACAGCTGGCTAAAATGCACCATCTGGCAGCCCTGCCAACTTCCTCCTGGGGAAGGGCTTGGGCACGGCTCAGGCGTCTCTCGGAGGCTCGGGCAGGTCCCCTCTGCAGGCTGGGCCAAGGGCGGGCATACTGCGCCAGGGCAAGTCCAGCCTGCGTCTGTTCGGAATTTTTCCCTGTTTAAAAATAGGGTCGGAGCCCGCAAGGAGCTGAGCTCTGTGCCTTTGCACGCGGGCGGCGGCGTGGCCGGCCCTGGGAGAAAGGACTGGGTACCGGGCCCGCAGGTCTCCCCTTGGCCCTCGGGGCGGAGGGCGAGGCACTCGGGGGTCCAGGAGCTGGAGCCCAGGCCGGGGCCGGAGAGGCGGGTTCGGCTCTGCGGAGCAGCCGCACGGGGGCTTCCAGAAGACCGTTGCTCGCCTCCTTTCCCACGACCCACTTCCCGCCTACCAAGCCTTACCAAACTTTAAGGACTTCCTATCAAACGGCCTTCAACCTGCGCGGCCTCACCCCTTCCGACTCCACCACCTGACAGCCCCTTGGCGCCAAGCCCAGCCCCGCGCTGCACGCGCACACGTCTAGCCAGGTGTTCCGCTTGAACGAAGCTTGGGCAGGTGGGGTGGGTGGGCTACCTTTCCTTAATTAATTGATTAATTAACTAATTCCGGCCAGGAAGATGGATGGGACGACTGCCCGGTCTCCTCCCCTTCGCGGGCGGCGCTGATTTAGGGCCCCGGGGCCGCGGCACGC